GGCTTGGCTCCTTAGTCATGAAGAGATTTGGAGAAAGCGTACCCGTGATCAAAAGCTTGGAAAACTGGCCTTAGGAAAGTTAAGGGAGTAGAAAAGTTAAGGGAGTTGAATTTATTTCATCTATAGAAAAAATCAGAAACATGATGAGATCGTTGTTTGCAAAAGAATGAGAGAGTTTTAGAAATGAAAAAAAGAAATGCTTTCTAAGTCAGGAGAGATTTAGTTTAAGCAAGAGGAAGAAACTCCTGCTAAAATCAGCAGGAGATACATTTGCTGGGCACCGCGGGGGTGAGAAAAAAGGCTTCTGCCCCTGCCTTCAGGGAGCTGAAGACAAGAAACAAAGCATGCACACAGGGAGCTTGCAGCAAAAGCCAGGACGCGGGATTTCATCAAGGCTAGACTGTGGGCTTCAACACAATGGGCAGGCGGCCCTCGGGACTCCATGGGGGGGGAGAAGCCGAGGGAGGTCACCGGGAAAGGCTTGAGGAGCCTGCAGGGCTTGAGCTGGGCTTTAGAAGAAAGCCTTTCATAGGCGGATGGGATGGCAGCATTTTGAAGCCTTTCTTATTGTGATTCCCTAGTAAAAATAGGTATTTTATATCACCCTGCAGTACACACATACAAAAACATTTAACCTTATTAAATATGATGTATCTAGTGTTTTCTGTTTTTGTCTATTTTTTTTTTTCTTTAAATGTTGGGTTAACCCCACTAATAGATTGCAAACAATTGTTCTAAGGGGTCCAGGAGCCCAGTGTGGAGCAGAGCTAAGCCTGCACTGTGGAGGGAGTGCCGGTTAGAGGGAGGACTCCGTGGGAAGGGGATATTGTTGGTATGACGGTGGTCTCCAGAAGTATAATAAATTACTTTGGGATGTTATGGCAAAATTTCGAACTTCACCTATCACATGATCTGCTTCTTATAAAAAACTCTTCTTACTGGTGCTACCTTTGGACAGTAGGTTGGCCAAGATATCTTTTTTTAGGAATCCTTTTGATGCTTGATTTCAGTTTAGTATCACTCAGCAGGAGGATGGGGGTGGAGGAGAGAAATTCGCTTCTGGATTCTCAGGAGCAATGACATTAATAGACACCTGTTTTGTCTCGTCTCGTGATGCGCTGTGGGATTTTTGGTTTAGAATGGAGCACTGGATAGACTGGTGTCATAGGAGAAGATATAGGGAATGTGTCCATGGACGGGTTTAGGAGAGGAAAGTGATGGTCAGTTGTGTTGCTGTAGCAGAACGAATTACAAGTATGAGCATCGGCCTGGCCAGGACTAGAGAACTCTTTGCATTAGCATCTGCTCCCTGCTGTTTCTGGACTGAAGGTGCCTGGTCCCTTCACCCACCCGCAGCAAAGCCCAATGAAACATGAACAAGCGTTTGCAGCAAAGAGATTTATTAGTTGAGGAAATGGCACCAAGCGTGGAGTCCCAGGTGAGCTAGTGCTAAAAGACCTGGCTCCCTGATGGCTTTGGGTGGATGGGTTATATAGGGGGAAAATAATGAATCATGGTGGCTAAAGAGTTGGGGTTGTGGGCTCTACTGATTGGTTGGAGCCGGGGTAGGGAGTAGTTGGTCATTGTATCATGTCCTGATGTCAGCCATGGCATAGTTCTGTCTGGTTGTTCTGCTTTCATGGTCCTGGGGCTAAAACACAAGTCAAGTCAGGATGTTATCTTTAGCTTGACTGAAACCCTGTTTCTATGTCAAGACACGTAGGGGTTTGTTCCTAAGATAGTTTGATACTGACCAGAATGTGATGTCCAAAGGGCTTAACGATCGAAGGGAGTGGACAGACAGAAAGGAGAAAGTCATGTTAAAGAAATGGAGCTTCTGCTCGGTTACATTGCTGCAGTGTCATTTCACTTTGGAAGACTCACTGTTCACAACCTGGGTTCCTGGTTAGAGGTCTAACTGCGACCCTTCTTGGCGGCTACTTTTAGAGTACTTGTGAGACCGTTAAGAGACAAATTCTTACCTTCTCTCCTCATTTCCCGGCTGATGGTCTACTTTCCTCCAGGGTCTTCTTTAGGGTTGCCCCTGCCTTCCCCGTTGCTTCTGCACTGTTCTCTTGGCCCCGACTCCGAGGCCAATCGGTACAGTGCCCATCCCTTCTCCCTCTTGCGGCTCCTGTGAACTCCATCTGCAGCATGTCCAGGGCGGATGGTGTTGCGAATTGTTTATTAAACCTTTGTGTGTGGGTAGGATGTTCTCTTTGCCTCGTGCTCTAAGGGAAAGGAGAAACAAGATGAAAGAGAAGAGCTATAGGTCTCAAGGGATGTGCCATTGACCTTGTCCTCCAAAGGGAAGGGAAAGGGGAATGTTTCCTGCTTTGTCCTATAGAAACTGAACTCCCTAAACGTCCACATGTAACTAATTTTAGGGAACCCCTGCAATCAGATTTTTCTCTACCCAAGAGTTGAGTGCACAGCACTGAAAAGGAAAATCCTTTCATGTGGCCATTCTTTGCTGAAGTACTTTCAGTCGTGTCCTCTGAGATTTAATATCCTTTTGATCTTCCCAATCCCGTTTTAATTTGGTTCGGGAAGCATTTAAAAGACAACACTAATACTGTAGCGTTGGGATAATGTAGGTCGGAATCATGAGTCCTGCAGGGACTTCAATAAACCTTGTTGGTTTTGTTTTGGCTTGTAAAAACACAATCTGGGGGAAATAAGCTGCAGTCTGTGTCTTGGTGTTGGCTGCATTCTGTTGTTAAGTTGAGCTTCCTGTTCTGCTAACAAATGCCTGTGCCTGGGGCGTCTGTTTGTTGTGTTCCCCTTCAAGAGAAGGCCTGATTTATAATGGAAGGTAAAACCTAGTGTCTTCTTTGCAAGTAAATTGATTGTTGTAGGAGAGTGTGGGTGACATTGGCCCAGACACCGTCTTACTTGGGTAAAAATATTTAGAAAGCCGTCCTGTAGAGCTGCACCGAAGTCTGAAATTCAGGTTAAAAATTCAGCTCCTCAGTTGCACTGGTCACATTTCCAGTGCTTGCATGTGACTCATGTGATCTTGATATTTGGGGGCAGATGGTTGTTTGTTGGGGGAGGGGGCTTTCCTATACATTGAAATATGTTTAGCAGCACCCCAGCCTCCACCTGAGAAATGCCAGTAACACCCCTTATTCATAACAATCAGAAATACCTGTGAAGATTGCCAAAACTCACCCCTTGCTTAGAATCACTGCCTAGAGGCCACAGTTTTGGACAGTGCAGATACAGAGTGTTTCTATTAATGCGGACAGTACTGTTCTAGAAAAATCCCTAGCAAAGTTTGGTTTGGGGCATTTTATAGATTAATTTTTTTGAGCTTTAGGGAAATCAGATTGGTCTTCCAGTCTTATGCCTGGGGAAACCGAGGCACAGAGAGGTGTTTTTTTTGTGTGTGTGTGTGTTTTTTTGAGTGACTTTAGGTTCATAGCCTATAAGTGTCAATGTAGAGTTCTGGACTTAAAGTTCATGCAGCCCAGAGGACAAATTTATCATTTTCTTTCAAGCTTACCATTTTTCTTGTGTTCTTGCACTCAGAGATGGTCACAGAGGAAGAGAGTCTTGAAAATGGGAGTGGTCCAGTCCTGAGACTCAGAGAAGTAAATTCCTAGCTTGAACCCTGGGTACACCTATTTGACCCTTCCATGGCCTGTGGCTTTCTCTAAGCCCCTGCCTCTTGGCTGGGGTTGGAGTGGTATCGGGGACATCTGGTAGGCGCACCCTTGCTCATTGAGAGGGGAGTCCTTTTGGGTTTCCCAGTTCCATCAGTGCAGAGAGATTGGAAACACTGCGGCCATGGAGGACTATAGTCCTCTAAAAGTCCCTCTTATTAGTTTCTAAATCTCCAGTATCTCTTCTGACTCTTTCCCTGAAGTGATCCATGGCAAAGCCTTTAGTATGAAATTCCTGGAGGCTCTTTGGAGGCCACAAGGAAGCAGAGAGCCCTGGAGACCTGTCTAGAAAGTTTGGGGAGTGAGGAGGAGTCTCTCCCAGGGTGGTGGTACCTATAGCTGCAGGGGCCAGAAAGTAGGATTCTCTAGGGGAAGTCTGGAGGAGAACCGGGGCCTGCAAGGTGGCCAGGGGCTTTGAGGTGTTCCAGGGTCTTTTCTCCTTCCATTAATCCATACGCCTCGCACCTCCCGATGACTTCTTCGGTCGCTGATTTTATACTCTCGCTCCCCTGCTCCAAACCTTCAGGGGCTCACTGCTGCTGTTTCACTTTTGAAACTTTTTAGTCTTGTATTCAAGGCCCATTCTCTTTTACATAGAGATTCTCTCTGCCCTTTGTAAGAGTAAAAACTAGTTTCTGTGCACATGAATGCTTTAGCTTTGCTGTCGCTGTGGTTTGTGTAATTGCTCTCTTGGGGTTGGGGCTTGGCCCAGGAGGCTTTGCTTTGAGCTCTTTGATGTTAAGTAGCTTGCTCAGGAAGAACTTTTGTTTCTGGTGATACTTTGTTGAGTCAGTAGCCTGGACAACTACTTGAAATCAGTATACAGCTCAAAAATCAGGGCCCAGTAAGCAGGCCAGAAAGAGTGGCAGTAAAAGCAGACAAAGAATTACATGTATTATAAATCCTCAGATAACCTTGAGCGGCTGGCCAGTTTGGTTCTGTAACACCATGGGCCCAGTGAGCTGTGGGCCGGGTCAAAGGCCAGTGTTCTCAGAGGCCAGCTGTTGGGTTTAGCTAGAAACAAGCTAATGTGTAAACTGGCCTTGAGGTCTTTGTAAGTTGCCTCATCTTCCCAACTTCAGTTCAGACGAGTAATTTTCTTTCAGAGTTTGGCGACCAGCTGCTGTTTCATTGAACTGTTGATGTTTCCTTTTGGGAAACCTGCTTTCCTGAGCGCTGCCATGGTGAAGGGGAAGGTATCTTTAAAATGCCCATTTGGGGGAAGATTCTGACTTGAGCAGCAGTAGGGAAGGATGGGGAGCCGGGAGGACCGAGATTCTGCCTGTGACCCACTGCTGTCCACTGACGTTGCATGTCCCTTTTGCTCTACAGACCAATGAGTGGAACAAGAACGATGACCGGCTGCTGCAGGCCGTGGAGAATGGGGACGCGGAGAAGGTGGCCTCACTGCTGGGCAAGAAGGGGGCCAGTGCCACCAAACAGGACAGCGAGGGCAAGACCGCGTAAGCTATAAAGATTGATTTCTAGTTGTGCCAGTTCTGGGTTCTCAAAGCGTTCTCTGGAATCCGTAGGCTCCATAGGGGACCTTCACAGGTACCTTTAAGGGACTCTGAGAAACTGCTGTCTCCCTACCCCATGTTAACATATGTATCTCAGTCTAGTGCCTTTCTCTTCAGGTTCCAAATTACACATTGGGCCTTACCTTGAACGGTTGTATTTGTTCCCAGGTATAACCAAAGATTTCACAGAAAAGAAATAGCAGCAGGATTGCAACCAATTGATGGCTTGGAAATAAATTCTCTTCTAGACTAGAAACAGCGTAAAAGAGAAAGTACTGTTTTTCATAGCCCTCAAACCTTACTGTTTGTATTATTAGTCCATTTTAAGCCCTTTTCTAACATAGGTCAGTAATTACATGAGTAGTATGAATTTTGCTTTATGATTTCCCATATGTTGTGGTACTCTTGCTCGCCATAATTAAATCTATTTGGTTAAGAGTGAGTGTGTGTGTGTGTGTGTGTGTGTGTGTGTGTATCCATCCTTACTCTGGTGATGTAGTACAGAGATCATTGACTTTGGAGGCAAATAAACTTCTCATCTAGACTCTGTCACTTGCGGGTTTTATAGTCTCGGAATCTCAATTTGTTCGCTGTAAAATGGAAATGGTAGTATTCAACCACATAGTATTTATGAGTAGAAACTAAGATACTGATGTTGGGCAGACGCCCCCCGAGCAGACTCTGAGACGAGAATCTGAGGGCACGTAGTTTCTCCAGCCAGAGCCCCACAAAGTGTGCAGTAAGGGAACGAAGCCTGTGTAGCTGTTGTTGGCAGGTTACTGCTATGGTCAACTGGGACTCATTTTCACTGAGAACCTCTGGAAACCTGTTTAGACTTAGAGCAGGGGTGGGCCAACTATGTCCCACTGTCTATCTTTGTAAATAAAGTTTTTTGGAGTGCGGCCGAATCTGTTATCGATCGGTGCCCATGGCTGCTTCTGCATTGCAGAGGTAGATGTGAGTAGTCAGGACAAATACTGTATGGCCCCCAAAGCCTAACATTAACTGGCTTCTTACAGAAGTAGCCTAAATAGTTTGCTTACCCCAGGTTTGAAGTAGGCCTCAGAGTTACCCCACCCAGCGGATAAAGGAAGTGGGGTATCTATTCCTAATCTCTTGTCCCTCTAAGGTTGAGTGCTGCTCTGAGGGGCCATATGCTTATGGCCAGAACAAGTCCAAGAAGATAATTGGCGGGTCACCTGAGTGGCTCTCTGTCCTGCCAGCTTTAAATCACCCGGGGTGCTTTAAAAAATATTGATGCCATGCCCACCCCAGCTGGCCTGTATCATTCTGTCTATGGAGAGGCCCAAGAATCAATACTATAGTGTCCCATGTAGGTTCAGCCAGAGAGAACCAGCATCTAGAAACTAGATTGACTTTAGATTGAAGGGTAGGTAGTGAGGATAATAGGCAGATTTTCAGAAGATTGGACATCACATTTTAGCAAATTTTGCCAATCACCTGTCTTCTTGACACCCACTGGATCCCAACCCTACTGTTGTGGGAGCAGCAAGATAGCTGAAGAGGCTGAGCTCTGCGTAGGCACCAGGCTAGTTGTTTCACAAAGGTCAGAGAGAATGTTCTCTCTCAGATCACATTCTGGTCCTCTAGGAGCTGGGCTGTCCTCTGCCAAAGCCCCAGGTTCAGCACTCCCCCCCTTCCCCCCGCTTCCATTTGACTTTATCTTTGCAGAGGCCTGTCTCTCGGGTGTGGGGCACAGGGCTCAAACCCAGTGAGCTCTGACTTGGTAGCCAGGACTCCCAGTAGCAGGCAGGCTTTAGGCTTTGGTGGTTGGCTAATATGTTCAGCCTTTGCAACCTTTTGTAATTGTTCACTCTTACCCTCCTGCACTCCAGATTAAAATTGCCTTGATAGAAGGGACTGTGACTTTACACGGCTATAATTACATCATCTAGCCCACTGCCTGGCTTGTTGTAGATACTCAGAAAGTGTTTGTTGAATGAGTCAATTAACCTTTTCCCACAATGCCCCATGTGGAGTCAGAGCTATCGGAGTGACAATGGCAGAGGCCACACTCCTGTCCTGAGATTTTTGGTGTTAGACGTGGTGCTTTTGGACACCTTCTTGCAGTATTACACAGCTTTCTTGGCTCCTGCTACCCCAGTCCAGCTTTGCAGGTGCCTGCACAAAGCAGCCTTTTACCGCTGCACCGGGAAAAGGGGAGATAACGGTTTGTGATAGTTTTGTTCAACACAGTACCCACTAAAACAAAAATAGAAAATTCAGATTAGCAGCTCAGCCATTGTTGTGATCGGCTGAATAAATTTATACCTTTTGTTAATAAGGTTTTTATTATGTATAGAGGACACCGCTAGGATGTTATTTTCTATTCTCTCTTTTTATTGTGGTAAAATACACATAACATAAAATTTACCATTTTGACCATAGTAGAGTATACATTTCGGTGGCGTTAAGTACATTCATGACGTTGTACAACCATCTTCATTTTCTATTTCCAGCAATTTGTCATCATCCCAAATGAAACCCTGTACCCATTAACCAGTAACACTTCCCAGTCTCCCCCTCCCCCTGGCAACCACTAATCTGCTTTCTGTCTCTATGAATGTGCCTGTTCTGGATATTTCATACAAATGGAATCATATAATATGGGGCCCTTTGTCTCTGGCTTCTTTCACTTAGCACAGTGGTTTCAAGGTTCATCCTTGTAGCATGAATCACTTCTAAATCTTAATCTCTTTTAACAGGAGAAATGCACACAGCAGTTATATAAAAATCACCACCCATTTTGCAGATGATAAAACTAAGGCCTATGTGATACAACTTTTCCTGCATTAACTCTAGAGTCCGTTGTCACACGTCTACCTTTGCATGTACAAGTCCACCATTCTTTTCCTTCGATGACACTTACATGGAAAGTTACAACTATATGAAAAAGGGAGAAAGAAGATAATTATTTTTTCAGGGCATGATTTGCTATAACTAATCATCTGTTAACATTTAATTTTTCTGCTTGGAGTATTCCTTTTGATGATTAAAGTTATTAACTGATAACTACAAGAATTTAATTTTTAAAGGCACCATGGAATTAAATCTGTCCGGTTTCGTATTTTCTTTCAAATCTAATGGTCTTTGTGTGCAGAATGACAGGGCTGTCACTGGAAACCATCTCTCCCGTCCTTTCGGCATCTTGAAATAACACAAGGCCACGGGTTCTTTATCGCAATGAGCCCCAGGCAGTGTGGTTCCCTTGGCTTCAGCCCTCTGCCCTTTGCAAGCCCTCACTTTTGCGTCTGAGTTGGTGTAATCCGCGTGTTCCTGCCTGAGTGTACATGTGTCGCCCTCACACCTGAGGATTTTCCTCCAGCTGTGGAGACTTTTCTGTTCTTGTTCCTGTTCTTTCTGTGTGCATCAGTTTGGTAGCCCGTGGACTGGTGACTTCCTAGGAGTGGTTCTGAATCCATGACAGGTCAGCCTTAGCATGTCCCCTCTGCTGGAGCTCATGGCCCCACCGGCCCCATGGAGCTCGCAGGGCCAGCATTTCATTGGGATGGGTATGCAGTGTTTTGCATTTGTCTCCAAAGGGCAAGGCCAGGTCACACACTTGAAAAGTTAGGTCCTTGACAGTACTTGGCCTCATTCTCTGCCTGCCTGTTTGGGTTTACCCTTTGATTTATCTACCTCCATGTCAAAATTGGGCTGGAGGCCTGTTTTCTAGAGCTTCTGTGATAACCCATTTTGCTAGTTTGCTAAGCAGTACACAGTGTTTCTCTGTGGCCCAACAGCCTGCAGTCCTGATTTTGACTTTCAAGGGCCCCCCACTGGCCCTGCCCTTACTCAGGTCAATGTTCTCTCGGACTTGCCTACTGCTGGAGGGGGCACTGTCCGCTCCCTGCCTTCCTGTCCTGTAAGAGCGTCCAGATGTTTGCCCAGCTTCTGTGTCCGGTCCATAATGCCTTCCAGTCTGATGTTCTCAGTCTTTTTGTGATTTTTCTTCTCTTTGAACCACTGCAATCTTACTTTAGAATTTGATGTATTTTCTTGCCTTGAAAGAACGGGTGTAACAACCGGAAAGACTCAAAAGCTTAAGAAAAACCTTTGTTTTCTGAAAGACTCGAATCCCTTATAATGTAGTAAGTTGCTGAGAACAAGGACCACGCGACCTGTGTAGCTGTGTTGGTCTTTTCCACTCTGCCAAGCACAGAAGAGGCATTTGGTCCGAATTTGTGGGAGTGACTTTTCAGCATGGTTCTCATGGAGAAAACTCTCTTTTTGGTGGTAGAAATCTGATGGGTAAATTCATTAGTGGTGAATTAACGTGGGATTCAAGAGGAAAAGAGTTATCCTGGTGAATGTCACAACCCGACACTCTGCTCTCCCAGCTCCCAGTGTAGTTTAAATAGAAAAATGCTCAGCCTTTCCTACCTAAATACCAGATGATCCCGAAAGTCCCAAGAATGAGGCGGCCAAGGCAGCCATCTCGGCAGACACTCTCCAGAAGCCTCCCAACCCGAGGTCAATGACCAGATGGGTGGTTTGGTAATTCTTCATGCTTTTCAGTTCTTCCTGGAGTATTTCCTTTAGGGGTAGATAAGGAACCTTGTCTGAAAATTTTCTCCCTTTAAAACTGATCAAAGAGGCGATAAAAAAGAGGGAGAGCAACTGAATGACTGGAATGCATTTAGGAAAGAGTAAAAGAAGGGTGGTGTCTTGGGTCCTAAGAGAGCAGAGTAGAGCTGGGCAGAAAGTTATAGCTGCAGGCTGTGTTGATGGAGTCAGGCTTGGCTTCTCTCCGCCCATCTGTTCTCTTTCCACGGCGGAGGTGAGGAAGTGGGAGGGCGCCCTTGCCCTAAATCTCCTGCCATGGAACAGTCTAATTGTTTCAAGATGGGCTCCCCTACATTTGGTGTGCATTTAATTAAAGTTATGTATGTTTGTCTTAGGAACAACCAGACTAAATAAAA